AGAGGTGCGTATTAAAGCACCTGCGCTCAAGAGGCATATGGTTATGACCCTGGCACGCCTGGCGGAGACGATGTTGATTTTGATGATGCGGACAAGCTCGCCTCCGATTCTTGGTACAATGAGGAGTATGCCACGAGGGTGATGTGGTGTAGGACTTGGTTGTATTTATTTTTGTTTTGCCATTTTTGTGGGGGCGTCCTTGAGCACTTTGTAAAAACTTTTGTAACATGACAGCCGTAATAGAGCAGTTACTTTTTATTGTGTACCTCTGGATTGTTTTCTTGTTGTGCGTTTTGTGTTTGTTTATTTGGCGACGACCTTCGCCGTAGTCCTGCTATTTCGAGTTGTTGAAATGTTAACCTGTTGCGTTTTGAGTGAGGTCGAGCCCTTGTCTTTGGCGGCGGCTTTTGCCGTAAGGGTGTTGTTTCGAGTTAATATCGAAATGTTGACCCGTTGCGTTTCGAGTGAGGTCGAACCCCTGTCTTTGGCGGCGGCTTTTGTCGTAAGAGTGTTGTTTCGAGTTAACGTCGAAATGTTGACCCGTCGCATTTCGAGCGATGTCGAATCCTTTTCTTTAGTAACGGCCTTAGTCCTAAGGATGTTATTTTTGAACAAAAAAGTACATGTCTGTCTCTTAAATAGAAAAGAACAAAAAGAAACTAGATAGGAAGGGGACGCCAAGTCCTGCGGACGCCTGTAGGACTACCTCGGGTCGCTGATGGACTGAAGGCAGCAACCCCTAGCTAAGGTCCGTATGCTCCAGTACCGGGATTTGCACAAAAGAGCGCAGAGTGTAGTATCAGTACAACCGACCCCATGTACTGAGTAAGTGTCGAGCCTAACCTCAGCGAAGTAGTGACGAGGCTAGGACACAACAAACAATTAACTTGCAGTTAAATAGTTTCTAGCAGAATAACCGTAATAGAAGTAATTCAAAGATAACGGGGGAGGGGTAACATGCTATGGGGGAAATACCAACGTAAAGAATCACAAAATAGTGTAATGAGACAATTAAGGTATTTGAACTGAATACAGCAAGAGATCATAACAAATAGGCAATAAGTGCACGACATCACCCTTCGTGCTTTTACTCTCAATCCTTACCAATGCAATCAAGTAATAAAAATGTGCACGGTATCACCCTTCATGATTTATCTCTCTTCCTCACCATATAATATTAGAAATAAGCACAATATCACCCTTCGTGCTTTATCTCTCTTCCTCACCATATGCATCAATATAAATGAAAATGTACACGGCATCACCCTTCGTGTTTTATCACTCTTTCCTCACCATATGCATAAATATGAATGTGCACGACACCACCCTTCGTGCTTTCTCTCTCTTTCCTCACCCAAACAATAGCAACAACAACATCCCGATAAGGGAATCAATAACAAGAATAAACACATCCCGACAAGGGAATCAACAATAAGAAATAAATACGTCCCGGCAAGGGAATCAGCTATAACCAAACTTGTACCAACAATTAACTTCACAAATAAACCTCAACTAGAACCAATGCTCAATAATAAACCCATACCAAGAAGATAATCATACGTCTTGCTCAACATGGATACTCAACAATTTAGGCAATTGTAGTACTTATTAAGAAACACAACGATCACAATTTAAGACTCACGGGCATGCTTGACACCAACGTATAGATACTCGTCACCACACCTATACGTCGTACACTACACTAGCACATAGCAAATAAAGCACAATACATATTCCCTCAAACTAAGGTTAGACCAAACACTTACCTCGAACTTCCACGGCCAACTCAAGCCTCAAACACCGCTTTCCTTTAGAATTCGCCTCCAATTTACTTGTATCTAACCCAAATTAATTTAACAACATCAATAAATGCTAAAGAATTCATACCCAGTGCTTAATTATAGGTTTTTTATTATTTTCCCCGAAAAGTCAAAAATTGACCTAGGGCCCGCTTGCTCAAAACTCGAGGTCGGACCAAAACCCGATCACCCATTCGCCCACGAGCCCAAATATGTAATTAGTTTCGAAATCCGACCCCAAAACGAGGTCTAAATTCCAATTATTCAAAAAGGCCCAACTCTACCCAAATTCCCTTTCTACCATAAAAACCCTAGATTTTTGGATGAAAGATTGATGAAATGCAATGGAAAATCGAAAGAAAAATGTTTAGAATCATATACCAATACTTTGGGGAAGAACTTGCTCCTTGAAAATCGCCTCAATGCTCTGTAGTTTTGAAAATATGAAAATGTGGGCTAAATCCCGACTTTGCTATTGTTTTAAGTGCTGGGCGACAGTGTTCATCGCGTTCGCGTGAGCACTCTCGTGTTCGCGAAGAGCTGCCAGTGGTGGACTTACGCGATCGCGGGAGAAGCTTTGCGTTCGTGAAGGCTTACCCAGTCTGGCTTTCGCGTTCACGATAGAGGGGTCGCGTTCACGTAGTTCTCCCTAGGTTCTATGTCCAGCCCATACTAAAGCTACGGTTCGCGGTTGACCGGTCACGTTCGCGTAGAGCAAACCCCCCAATGCTCCGCATTCGCGACCTGGGTCTCGCGTTCGCATAGGGAAAATTCCACCCCTAGCCCAGTTCCCCTTCACGATCGTGAGAGTTACTACGCGATCGCGATGTACAAAATGTTTGTGCACCAGAAGCAGCAAAACCTGCAACTTTCCTTAGTGTAAAAACATCCCGTGCCCTATCCAAAACTCACCCGAGCCCTCGGGGCTCCAAACCAAACATGCACACAACCCTAAAAATATCATACGGACTTACTCGTGCGATCAAATCACCAAAATAATGCCTCGAACTACGAGTTTAGCATCAAAATCAAAGAAAAATCTTCATAACTCTTTAAGTTCAAATTTTAACAACCGATGGTCCGATTCACGTCATATCAAGTCCGTTTCTTACAAAATTTCACAGGTTCAACTTAAATACCATATAAGACCTGTACGAAGCTCTAGAACCAAAATACGGGCCCGATACCATCACATTCAAACAAATTTAAATTACCAAAAACTCTTATAATTTCAGTTAAATAATTTTCTTCAAAAATTCATTTCTCGGGCTTGGGACCTCGGAATTCAGTTCCGGGCATACGCCGAAGTCCTATAATTTTCTACGGATCCTCCGGGACCATTAAATCACGGGTCCGGGTTCGTTTACCTAGAATATTGATCGAAATCAACTTAAATTTAATTTTAAAGGTTGAATTAGTATTTTTATCAAATTTTCACATAAAGGCATTCCGAATATACGCCCGGACTATGCACACAAATCGAGGTGAGGTAAAAGAAGGTTTTAAGGCCTCGGAACACAGAATTGACTTGTAAATCAAGTGATGACCTTTTGGGTCATCACAGAAGCTATGACCAACGCCAGACCCAACTTTTCGAGGTGGGGATACCTCGTTTCGGCATCAACTAAAGTTTTGCTAATATAGTAAATCGGAGATTGCATACCTTTGTTTCCACAGACCAAAACTGCGCTTACCGCAATTTCAGAGACGGCTAGATAGACAAGAAGGCATTCGCCTGGCTCTCCAGAATGAATTTCCCACCTATCTTGGGATAAGTGGATACCGGAAGTTTGAAGCTGACTTTAATGAGCAACACTTCCTTGTAGGGTCACCAAAGCAGGCTCCTTTAGCCGCTTCTGCCTTGGCGAGTAATGACAGCGAGGACAAGTAGGTTTTTAGTTTTCTTAGGGCGTCGACACATTCCAAATTCCTCTAAAGCCCGTTGTCTTTCTTTAGCACATTGAAAAATTTATAGCACCTGTTAAATAAACGTGAGATGAAACTTGACAAGGTAACTATCCGACCTGTCAGCTTTTGTACCTGCTTTTTGCTGGTTAATATTTTCGGTATTCTCTCGATGGCCTTAATCTGATCTGGATTGACCACGAGGCCTCTTTGTGACACCAGGAAATCGAGGAATTTGCCCGAGGATACGCCGAAGGCGCATTTTTCGGGGTTTCATTTTATGCCATACCGCCTTAATATGTCGAAGGCTTCCTTCAGGTGATTGATGTGGTCTTCTTTCCTTTTCGACTTAACCAACATGTTGTCGATGTAGACTTCCATTGTTTTGACGAGTTGATATTTGAACATCTTGGTGACCAATCTCTGGTACGTCGCCCCTGCATTCTTAAGTCCGAACGACATGACCCTGTAGCAGTACGTTTCCTGGTGAGTGATGAAAGTGGTTTTCTCCTGGTCCTCTTCCTTCATGAGGATCTGGTTATAACCCTAGTAGGCATCTAGGAAGCTTAGCAACTCGTGTCCCGCTGTTGCGTCGATGAGTTGGTCAATGTGTGGCAATGGAAAGGAGTCTTTTGGGCATGCCTTGTTTAGGTCTGTGAAATCTACACACATCCGCCACTTTCCATTTTTCTTCTTTACCATGACCACATTGGCGACCCACTGGGGATATTTTGACTCTCGGACGGAACCATTTGCGAGCAACTTATCGACTTCTTCGCTGATGGCTTCATTGATTGCGGCATTGAACTTCCTCCTTATTTGCCGCACTGGCGGGCAGAGGGGGTCAACATTCAGTTTGTGCATGGCGATGTCTTTCGGGATGCCTGGCATATCTGCATGGGAGAAGGCAAACAGATCGACAATGTCAGTTAAATATTTACGAAACTTACCTGGTTTCGAGAGATTGCGCCCGATATAAGCCTTTTTTGTGATGTCATTATTGTCTAGTAGAACGGGATCGAGATCCTCTATTGTCGAATCGGAGGCTTCCACAATTTCGGGATCCTTGATAATGTCTGTCCGTACGTCGAGTTTGGTTCCCGACATTGCTGATTGCTATGCTTCCGCACTTGCTCCTTTGAGTTGTTGGGTGTGTGTGCAATCCTGGGTGATGCGATAACATTCTTGTGCGGTGCGTTGTTCGCCCCGAATGCTGAATACCCCCCATGGAGTAGGAAACTTGATTACTTGATAGAGACTTGACAGGACTACTCCCATGGCATGTATCCATAGGCGTCATATGATAGCGTTGTAGGCAGTATCTTCGTCCATGACGTGAAACATTGTTTCTAGGGTGACTCCTCCGGCTAGAATGAGTAGCACTATCTCTCCAAACGTTCGCTCGACTGCATTATTAAAACCTGTTAGTATTATGCAACGCGAAATTATTTTATCTTTTAGTCTCATCTGTATGAGGACTCGAGGATGGATAATACACGTGATGCTTCCGTCATCTACCATTATTCTTTTTACATTAGTATCTGCAATACGTAAAGTGATAACAAGAGCATCGTAGTGAGGGAAAGACAAACTATTGGTATCTGATTTATCGAAAATGGTACTATCTTCGAGGTCATCATACCGTTCATGAGTGATCGACCGTTTGAGTTTATGTGTGGTGGTGAAATTTACATGGTTAATTGTTGTGTCATCGCCTCTGCCGATTATCATTTGTATGGTACGAGCAGGAGAGGTCGGTTTTGGAGGTCCCTGGGGTTGTTCGCGTCCACGGGCAAAGTTAGCCCGTCCTCGGTCGCTCAGAAGCTCTTTCAGGTGCCCCTGATTTAGCATTATTTCTACCTTCTGCCACAGTCCTATGCAATCCTCGGTTCTATGACCCCTTTCCTGGTGGCATTCGCAAAGAACGTTCGACTTCCGAGTGGTTGGGTCAGACTTTATCTTTTGCGGCCATTATACCTTCATGCCGAGTTTCTCTAGTGCGTACACTATTTCTGAAGGAGAGACACCCAAATTGTGAGCAGATAAGAGTGGAGGCATACCTTTCTCGTGTCGGTGTGGCACTGTATGTCGAGGAGGGGCATTTGTATGTCGCGGAGGAGGTGTGATGGATGTCCTGATGTAGAGCTGATACCTTTCTCGGCCAAAATCGGGCCCAACTGATCTCTTCGACCGTCGTTGCGATGATCTTTCCTTACTTCAGCTTGAACTGACGTCAACCGTTGGATAGGACTATTGAGGTCCTCTTCGTCGGCTCTTACCTCGGTGCAGTAGGCGTTGTGGATTTCTTCCCAAGTGGTTGGAGGAAATTTCATGAGCCTGCTTAACAATTTTCTGGTCGCTCTCGACCCATTCCTGTTTAACCTATTCTATAAGGTTGCTACCGCCATTCCCCTAACACATTTGGAAAGCTCATTCTCACCCTGTTAAATCGAGCTAAGAAGTCCCTGAGTCCCTCGCCGTGCATCTGCCTGACGGCAAATATGTCGTTTACCCTGGCTTCCGCCTTTTTAGCTCCTGCATGAGCGGTGACAAACTTGTCTGCCATTTCTTCGAACGTTGCTAGTTAATGTGCTGGTAGTTGTGAGTACCAGGTCAGGGCTCCCCCTGTTAGGGTTTCACCAAACTTTTTCAATAGAACCGATGGTACCTATTCTTTCGAAAGATCGTTACCTTTTACGATTATGACGTAGTGGATAATATGATCTTCTGGGTCGGTAGTACCGTCATATATCTCCAGGTATGGTGGCATTTTGAAGGTTTTTGGAATGGCATGGGGGGCTGCTTCCTCATTGTATGGTTGCTCGATGAATCAACCAACGTCCCGTTTTGGTAACAGCTTTGGGACGCCTGGTATTTTGTCGACCCTTTCTTGGTGCTCCTTCATCTGGTCACGGAGTGCCTTATTCTCATTTTCCATTTCCTTCATTTTCTTTAGAACGATTGCGAGTGTGCCATTACCTGCGTCAACAGTAGTGTGAGTGTTACCTGTGCGGGGGACGTCTTATTCGTCAACGATCTTCGTGGCATCTACGTGTGCAATGTCTCTATTATCCCTTTGAGCGGGTTTATCAAGTATGTTGTTCAGAGTGCTTGTTAGACACTCTTCTAGTAGTCTTCTTACTGCTGGTGGTGCCTCTCCTATTGTAGACGTGGAGGCTTCCTTCTCGCGTGAAGCAGTTACGCTTTTATGCGGGGGAGGTGAAGCGTCTCCCTAGGTGTGGTGTTTGGTGTCACGTTTTCGTTATCTTCCCTGTTGTCTTCGTTGATGGTGTTCAAGATGTTGGTTGTGACACCTGCTATTGCTTTTAGCCTTGCATCTCCTTTTCCTGCCATTGTTAGTTTGTGCAAAGTTAGGAAGAGGTGACTATCCTTTCTGTGATCTAGATGAAACTGAAATCTAAACTAAAAATGTCCCCATAGACGACACCAAATTGTTTGATCAAAAGATGTCAAAACCTTTTTGATTAAAACAACTAATGATAATGATGAGGTCAATCTTAGTCAAGCACAATAAAATCTAGATCAAGTGATGGAAGGAGTAAGCAAGATGAATGATGTAACAAATATGTTGGAATCAAATAAATGCTCATAAATGTGAAGACTTAAATGCACAATCAATCTTAATAGATGCAATCGGCGCGGGGGTGGGGAATAAGTATGAGATGATTGGGGAATCTTTGGATCTTCTCAGATGAACAAGACTGTTTTTGTATTCACTCTCAGATGATTCTTTTACAAAGTGTTATTTTGTCTTTTTCCTCCTGTCCCCTTTTCTTTACTCACTATTCCTATTTATAAGGGACAATCTCCCAAAAAACCCTAAGAAGTACAACATAGAGAATATTCGAAAGGCATATTCTTACTGTCTCCCACTAAGTTTACACTGTCGTGGATGTCATGCATCGACTGACCGCCCTTGATCGTTGTCTTTCACCACGACAACCATTAGACGGTGCATCATGATAACCTCGTTCCTCGTCCTACTCGGTAATGGTCGTGGTTGCCAAATTTGGACCCATACAACGGGTTGAATATGTCGATGCTTTAGTGAACATAATATCTATTATTGTACCAAGAATTCACCCAGATAACAGAGGTTGGATTCATGCAATGGCTGGGCATGCTCTTATCTTATGCGCAAGCAAGAGTTACAGCTACCTCGTTTCCAAGATAGACTGTGGAGTAACAGATGAAATATAATTCTTTATCTGATTCATAAACAGTTTCTGAGGGGCGGGAGTTGGTGTCTCTGACTTTTCCTCTCTTTGATCAATCAAAGCTACTAGACTTCTAAAGCAGCGAACCAAATGGTGCATAAAGTATCTCAACCTAAAAAGCCAGAGAACTCTGCTAGAAAATACAACACAAGAAACACATTAGGTCGAGACGCTCCGCAATGTGCTCTCTCATAAGGCGACGTCACTTTACTCGAGCTGAATCATTCTTCAGAATTGCACGTTCCTATTCCAAAAGGACGCTTATCCACCACAAACTGGTGCAAGGCAGGGGGACTTTTGTGCTACTTTCTTGGCAAATGCAGGAGCGTCTGTGGAAGAGGGATAATACAAGAACCATAGCTGGAGCTAAAAACTTTTCTACAAGTTGACAATGGGGGTGGTCTTATTTAAAGTATCTATTACTCCCTCCGTTCCAATTTATGTGAATCTATTTGACTGGGCACAAAGTTTAAGAAAAAATGAAGACTTTCGGAATTTGTGGTCCTAAACAAGTCAAAAAGGGACCCAGAGTATTTGTGTGGCTATAAAAGCTTTTCATTAAGGGTAGAACTGTAAGTTTAAGCTAAATTGTTATCAAATTTAGAAAGGGGTCATTCTTTTTGAAACGGACCAAAAAGGAAATAGCTTCACATAAACTGGAATAGAAGGAGTAACAATCCAAATATTGACTAGCTTTTCGCCAGAACGGAAGTATACGTTTTTTCCCCATGTAACTCCAAATAATGCCTAGGTACACAAATCAACTCTATGATTCCTCTCTTACAAGTATCAGGAACACTTAGACGCTCCAGACTTCTGCATCCCATCATCTATAATATCATAGCCTTTTGTTCTAGGATCGTAATTAATGATAGTTATCTTATTAAGTTAGTTGCTTTTCCAAGTTGTGAACTAGAATGAGCCTCGAGGTCTCCCCAAAACCAAATTACTACTACTTTACTATTGGGATTGGTCTTTACACCTTGAACAAATGGAGACGTGGAAAAAAAAAATAGCATATCCACCAAAGTAAGCAATCACTTTAAAAGGAAAAGTCAGCTGATGGATTATTGTATGCAAGGACTGGCAGAAATAATAACGAGGAATCCCATAGTTAGGTCGAGATACAACCACGAGATACTTATGAAGAAAATTCAGACTCTGAAGAATGAGAAACTTCCTTCCCAATTTCAAGATTCACATTAGATTTGCGACTTTTTCCCTTTAAGAAATTGGAGTACCATTGTTGAGAAAGCTTTGGATATCTTGTTAAATTTTTGTCGTCCAAATCCACGTAGTATAGGCCATATGCCGATTTATATCCATCCAATAACTCCAAACCATCCAAGAATGACCATGAGAAGTAGCCTCTGACATTTGATCCATTCCTATCATAACAAGGCATTGTAGGGATAAATGGCAAACAGATCAGAAAGAAGGCCCAAAAACACCTAATATAATTGTTAGACCCTCCGTCCAAAAGATAATACTAGTGAAGATCAGCTCAAACAGTTTAGGACAGAGAAGACATTTTAAATTGATAAGATGATACAAAACCTTTCTGCGGCAAGAAGTGTTAAAAAGCCAATCCACACAGAGTATGAGAAAAAGAAACACATATGCAAGTTCAGACTAGCGTTCTTTTAACCGAAGACATAAGGAACAAGTCTATGTCTGCAGTCAATGAGTAATAACTAATAACAAATGTTTCCGTGACGTGGGAGGGGCTTACCTCATAGCATCAAGCAAATTCCTGATATAAGCATGCAAATATTCTACTCTACCCGTATCATTTAGTGTCGCGTTTCGTGGTGTCGTCTGACCTGCCAACAGAAATCATGCTAAGCTTCTCAGAAAACACTGCTTCATGAGGTTCAAAGAAAGCTCTGTGCGCTATTGAATTGTCAAAGCCTCTAAAGCAACTTTCATGTACTCAAATATTCACAAGCGTCGAGAGAGGGAGAGAGACGAACCATTCTCATGAATGTAAATTGGTAGGTTGCCATAAGTTTTCTTGAAGTACTCCAGTACTGCTCGGAGACCCGGTTGTGTCCATGGATACTGAGTCAAAACAACTTGTGAATAACAGATAAAAAAACACTAAGGTGTATCTAAAGATCATGCATGTCCCAAGCCTCACCTCGCCTTTGGGTGTAACACCACCTTGCTCAACTGTTTAAAGAGATAAAGTAGTGAATTTCTTGATATGAACATATCCATAACAGAGAAATACTGATGACATCAACTAGAAAACTGGCATTTGTCCTCTCATTTGGATTTTCTCAACTTTATCATTAGATTAACGTGATCAGCAAAGACAGCTATGATCTTCAAATGTCAAAGTATCTCTATTCAGGTAGCATCAGCCACTTACATACAAGTTGTATTGCTGCATCGGTACTGAAGTCCCTATAATCTCTTTCAAAGGCACTCGGTCGGTCTTTAACATGCAATGTAGCATAATGGTTTAGGCCTATGAAGTCTATAGCACCCTTAACTTGCTCAGATTCTTGTCTGGTGAAGGTGGGCATTCTCGAGCCGACCCTATCCTTCATTGTGACAGGATAGTCTCCAAATATCAAGGGACTGATAAACCTGCGGTGGAGATGAGAAATAAAATGAAACCAAATAATTAAGCACAACCACTCATTTGTGCAGTAAATGAATAAGTAGTTCCTTAGTGCAGAGTATCTTAAATTTGAGGAGATGTTATGTTAATAGGCCAAAGGTGTGCTCTTACCAACCCAGGTAGAAAGCATAAGCTCGCAGAGTTGCACCTTCATCTGCCGTTGCATTTGTATGAGGAATAAATCGATATGCAAAGATATTTAATCCCACAAAACCATGCTGTGTTGACTGCATTGCAAATATGTTAGTTTTTTTTTTTGTTATTTCGTTTTGGAAACTCAGTAATAGTCACAAGTTATTTTGAAATGAACTTAATGATGACACCTTGTACTTTCTCTTGTACAATCTGAAAACAGATGAATGAGTAAGCAGCATATTGTGAGCTACTATGTATGGCTCGGTTGAAGAGTTGCCTCTAGAGCAAGGTCCAATTCCAACATGTGGGGAACAGCGCCCTGGGGGTGTAAATCCCAAATCATAACCACCCAAAGCGAATACATTGGCCTCATTCACAGTTGTCCAATGCAAAACCCTATCACCAAATTCCTTGAAGCAAATATCCGCATATGCAATGAAGTCATTGCTAAAAGGATAATATGAATTGTCAAGTTGAAATCAGTCAGATGTCGTAGAATATATGCAGAATATCTCCTAATTTTCGAAGAATTACAAGTGGAAAGTATTCAGCATACATTATTTT